AGATTCTTATTCAAACTCAAGAGAATGGGATTTCGGGCGCAGAGACTACACGTCTCACCATTCAGCTCCTTGAAATGAAATAGAAATCATGGAAACTTGAAAAAATATCAATAATCGCAATCTAGTGCACAAAGTCGAGTACGTGGCGCATTCTGGGACAATTTTGAAGCCCATCTTCTATAGAACGATCAGGCTGCATAAGCGGGATTATATACGCATCACATGCAAGCAACTACTTTCTCGAGATGAAAACTCGAGTGCATGGCGCAATCCTATATGGAGCTTTTTCAAAGTTTCAAAGCAATTCTTATAGTGTCCGACGAGCTGAATTCAAAGATATCTTCGGATTTTCGAAAGCTCAATTTTGAACCGAGTTATAACGAATTCACGAAATTAACGAGGATTCGCGTTATTCGCGTGAATTTTCGATTTCAAACGGCGAGTACTGTAGTCGCAAGAACGGTGACCTCCGATTACACAGCCATTTTTCCCAGTCTCTGGTCTGTTCTGAATTGAATTAGAAATTTTCGAATCCATCATCGCCCATTTTGGTGCATAGCCCAAGCGGATATTTAGGTGATGCCGAAGTTTGTTTCAGACAAACATGCATACGAATCTGAGTCAAAGTGTGAAGGATATCCGACGTTCATGTACATACATCGTAAAACTAAATTGTTCGTAGCACAATTTATTAGAAATATAGAGCTTATTGTGAAGTGTTCTTTGACGCGTCACGCGGGACAAATCCCATTTTAAGTGGCCACTGTTGTCCTTTTCTTGTGAGCGAATGATGTATGGCACACTCCACGGTAAAGTGCTCGAAGTGACTCAGCAAGTAACTACTAACCTGCGCTTTCTTCAAGGGATATAGAGAGAGAAGAAGGAATCCAGCACGGTACTCCTGCACCCGACATGTTAAGGACGTTATTGACGCTATTGACACGCTCCAAGGGTAAACGACACAAAGGGACTCTTCATGTGGTTGTCCCCCAAAGTGGTAGCGGGGCAGTACTTACAAGCTGTTAGAGGCGTCAATTCCACAGAGGTAACTGAGAGACTAATCCAGGAAGAATCTTGTCCTGACCAACTGACATTTGAGGATGTGAGGTGCGCACTCATCCTTCAAATATAGTTGGCTAGCCAAGTGTAATAATCCTTCAAATTTCCTCCACAGTTCACTTCTTAAAGAAGAACTGTGAACGTTTTCACCGCGCCGTATTACCCGCTATTGCTGTTGGATCACTTTCTCGTTCGTTTTTTGCTTACCTTGAAACATGACTAAAAAAACTGACAGTTGTGATTTCATCGAAGCTTGCCTGGAATATCCTGCATAGGTTTTTGGGAAAGGTCAACGAATTTTTTCGCTCATCCATAAGTGCACCATTATTTTGATGCATAGCTGAAAATCTCGATTTCAAAGATAATTTGAGTCACGCCGAAAGTTACGGCGCCATAGATAACCATTGCTCACGCCAGTAGCGCAACTCGATGTAAAGAGCTTATATCATGAGAAGAAATCGTCCTAGAAATATACATTTGACGCCGACATAAACTGCTCATGCCTCGAACGGGCCACCATGATTTTTCTACTTTCAACATGTTATTTCCCTTGAAAGTCCATCATGATCGGTTCAGTAGAGGGTTATAGTGACCACTGTTTTGATTGTTTTGGGCATGAATTACCGTAGTTCATTCTCGGCATATTAATGTTCCAAATATCTAGAAAGGAAAAAAGATGTTCACAAATAGTGTCAAAAGCGGCTTTTATTCGCAAAGAAAACGCCCATTTCATGACGATGTATCTAGAATGTTAAAAGATCCGATAACTTTCTGAGAGTTTCAATTGTTACTTCCATGGTGAGCCCATTTGTTGCCTAAAAAATGGAAACCGGCGCTGCTCGCGTTTACATTCAAGCTCGAAGTAACTCCTACGTTAAAACTTCCCTACTCGCTAAGTAGAATATCCTTAGCAGATTTTGGAAGCGCATTCATTATCAACATCTAAGGGTGCATCGCGTAATCCAACTTCTCATTCATTGGCCTCTTCGATTTAGCTTCCTTCCCTCCCTTTTTGGTGCGCTTGTTGATCACTGATCCGTACTTTTGTACTGTTCTGAATATGAAAGGTGTTTTGAAACAGGTGTTTATGTCAGTCATCGCATTTGGGTCATAATGTTTATTGATCTTCACTCGTGTCCTCTCTCCTGTCTTCTCTATTCAGTCTTATATAAACATGCGATTTCCATCCTACTAACTCTTTCTTGTAGCGCTTTATGAAAATGCCGTCGCATCCAAAGTGTGTACCGTTGCGAAGAGCTTCTATCTGAATGAATATATCTTGCAGCTTTTTCAAAAAAAAAAACGAAACATTGACAGTGGATCTAAACGGATAGAACTCTAAAAATAAGCATGCCAACGATAGATCAGTACGCGAGCTTCCGATCGTTCACTCCGAATTTTAAGCGAGCATTGCGAAAAAAAACACAGTGTAGCGACTATTTACACCCACCTTACTTGACAGCGTTCCTACCAATTGCCCGGAAGTGTTCAGGCTAGTGCGAGCTCGTGGAGCGAACCACCTATGCAAAAAAGGCATGTAGCACTCATTTATAGTGGAACAATTTCACCTTTCTACAAAGACAACAAAGCATAGCTGGGTCAGCGCCTCTTCCGTTCCCCTATTCAATACTTTCAACCCACCTTTTTTTCTTTTTTTCCAAAGCGCTTTGATATTGCTATTATCACCTGTACTTCCATTGGTGTAGGGTCACTTGTCTTGAAGTCGCTGAACATATAAAAATAATTCTGTGATAGTTACAGAGAAAGAAGAGTCACAAGAAGGACTAGCACAAACTATTTTCCTTTGACCTTCGCGGTTGCTTTCACGAATCGTGTGTGCATCAATTCTTCAAACGCCTCTTTTACCAATTTTTTACTCCATTGTACTAGTTGATTGTGGGATGCACATTGTAATAAGTTAACATGACGTAACGTTTCAAAACTATTCTCGGTCATGAATTTCTTAAAAAACACAACCAGCCTTCGGATTCGAACAATCGTTGACTCTCTGAGGCATCATTCTTCGTATAGATATTCTGTACTAAATAATCATTCAGTCTATATAAAATTATGCATTCCATCCTATCGTGGCCTTCGATGTAGTTCTTCCTTATTAATCCATGCATCAAAATATGTATCGTTGCTAACTTCTAATCTGAAAGAATTTCATTTATTCTTTTTAACAAGATTGCGACCTGCCTCACTCCGAATTCCCAATTCGATTGATAGGAAAATGATAGTTTAGCCAGCGCAATATCAACTTTACGACCCCAAAAACTCAAATTCTTCCTAGTACGCCCCCAAAAAAACTCAATTTTATTTTTCGTCGAAACTTCGCCTATAGTGGTTATTTGAGGCCCTGATCACGAAAATGAAGGTTTCATTTTCGGCGTTGGCGCCATTTGGCGCCAATTGGCGCCAATTTGGCGCCAAGGGTGTTTTCACCAAATTCGCTGTAAACTTGCACATAGGGGTTATTTGGGGTCCTGATCACGAATATAACATTCATTTTTCCTTTTAGCGCCTGTGTGCGCCTGTTTTCCGCTCGTCTGCGCCCTCTCACTGATCACCTCGCGATCGGGACTAAGCCTTTGAGGAGGAGAGTGCTCCGAAGTGAATAACACTTATCCTGTGATCTTATACGCTTTAACGTTTGCCACATGTTGACTGGTTCACCCACCCCGGAGTCCTCCCTCCTTCTAGGCTCAGTCCTAGGTATTATGTACAAGTGAGAGGACCCAGGAGAATGGAAAATGTGCGTTGAACGGTGGAAATGCTAAAAACGAATGACATATCCGTAATCAGGACCCAAATAACCCCTATGTGCAAGTTTACAGCGAATTTGGTGAAAACCCTTGGCGCCAAATGGCGCCAGCGCCAAAAATGAACCTCATTTTCGTGATCAGGGCCTCGAATTACCCCTATAGGCAAAGTTTCGACGAAAAATAAAATTTTGAGATTTTGGGGTGTAATAGTTGAATAGTGCCAAGCCATCTTCTTAGGTCCGAACACTGTCTTGGGCAGATTGCTAGCAGATTTTGCGTATTCAGGTTTTGCACTGAGCTAGTGGAGCGAACCACCAGCAAAAAGTCATGTGGAACTTATTTCTGATGGTGCAATTCAGATACATTTCTACAAAGCACTAAATGTAGCTCAATTAGCGCCTCTGCCGTTCCCCTATTCACCAGTTTTGCGCAGGCTCTGAACGAGCTCTCCGCCACCCATGCAAAGACATGGCTTGTTAAGGCTCTCAATATCCTTCAACCCACCTGCCTTTGTTTTTCTTCTAGGGGCTCTTGCACTGTTATTATCACTTTTTTGCCACTGGTCTGCGGTCACTTGTATTGAAGTCGCTGAACATAGTTTGTTCTGTAATAGGTACAGAGAAACAAAAACCCCAAGAAGGCTAATACAAACTGTTTCGCTTCGACCTTCTCGGTGACATTCACGGTTTTATTGCGCATTATATGAGCAAGCGCCAGTTTCACCAATTCGTCACTCCACTTCTGTTAATTCATGTGGATGAACAGTTAAAAAGCTACTGAGGTAGTCAACACTCTCTATACCGCTCGGCTGAACCTCGCGAAAACCAACCAGTTCCGAATTCATCAGTTCGTTGAACAGCTTGAGCATCATTCTCGCTTTATGGGTAATTTTTTCTATTTTGCATTCAGTCTTATATAAACATATGATTTCCATCCTATCATGTCCTTTCGTGTAGTTCTTCCTGATAATGCCATTGCATCCAAAGTATGTACCGTTGCGAAGAGCTTTATCTGAATGAATATGTTTTGCAGGTTTAAAAAAACATAAGATCTGCGGATTATTC